GGCCAACGAATCTTCTTGTAACACCAAAGATGAACTGAAGGCACGGATTATAGCAGCATCCACCAACTTAAACAAGGAAACCGCCCAGAGGAGGCGCAGAAGAATCTGAAATCGCCTGGAGGCCGTGGTTGAAGCCAATGGCGATTTCATTGAATAAATTTACTTTTAGTATTTCAAGATATTTTTGTGTAATTTTGGTAAACATTATCTGTTAAAATGAGATGTCATTTCCAATTTTGCGTAATTTTCACGACAATTTATCCATCGCACCCCCTCTCCCCATCTCTCTCTCTCTCTCTCTCTCTCTCTGTGTGTCTTGGTAGCAACCTGCAGGTGCTAACAGACGACTTTATTCGCAATGATTCTTTAAGTTGGCTATTATGAAATTGGCGTTTGGAGACAGATTTCATAATTGACTTCTGCCAGTCAACGGAATAATTTATCAGAAACATGCCTTGCCGTTGTATGTTTATTCGTAACACAAAGAGTGTTTATTGCTAGGCAATAATCGATAGCACTGGAACTAAAAATGAGAATACACGTAGTTGGCAGTTTTTATTATACCGACGACTACGAGTTTGTAGCCTGGATTGCAAGACGACAAGTCTTGAAATTAAGGCTATAAACACGAGTTTTCTCTTTATTCTTAACTCAAATAACTGGTATTTTACGACTAAGACAGGAATTAAAAATTGTACTAGCACCTAAATGGATATACTTTAAGTGTGAAAACACTCTTATGACTTCAGTTGAAGTTTTTATTGTCGAAGTCATTGGTGCATGAAGTCAGGTTTTGTAATTGACCTCTGGTAGTCAACGTGTTTTTTGTTAAGGATTTTTAGCGCAACAAGAAATCCGAGAAATCCTTAAGCAATTCGTCCTGGGTATGACGATAAACTACATCCGCGTCCTGGATAAGACGATAAACTACGTCCAGCAGCAAGACCTCTGATCAGGTGGAACCACCTCTTAATTGCTGGTGTTTCCAGGTCCATCCTAACCTGGGGTGGTAGCAGCTGTTAGGGTTCTAGCTATGGGCAAACAGTTAACACCCAAACTTGTGTAAAAATAGGTTTATACTTTGTAATAAGAAAACATTGCCAGCAATAATTTTTGAAGGAAAAATTATTATCAGCAATACTTAAAAAAATACCAGCAATACAAACAGCCATATATTCTTTGAAAAATAAATTAGCAGCTATGGATTTGTTGAAGGAAAAATATTCTCAGAAATAGATTTTTGAAGAAAAACATATTACCAACAATAAAAATTTTGTCGACATTAATAACCCATTGAGGTTGATATACCGTAAAACAAAACAAACCAAACCAAAACCTTAAGCGAAGACGCTATGTAACATTTCTTTTAGAATTCCACCCCAAGCAAGGCGGGTCACAGAGAGTAAAAGTAAGAGTAAAGAGGGGTGTTTGAGGAGAGGATCCACGGAGATCAAGATAAAGGCATCAGAAGATGTCGATTGACATTATATTTAAATTATTGAAAATTATAGTTATCAGGGAACCAAGTAAGAGGAAGGGAGTTTCACTGTTGGGAAGTGCGAGAGAAGAAGCTGTTGGAGTAAAAGAGGCGGTTACATTGAACTGTTTCGACAGTAAAGGGTGAAATCGAGATGCCAACCTAGTAGTACGCTTAAATTCATGCCCTTAGGCCACCAGTGAAAATAGCTTGTCAGAACAGTTGATATGAAAATATTTGTAAAAAAGATCAGAAGGAAGCCACATAACGTCTATGAGAAAGTGACTGGAGTCGAATTGCAAGGTCAGGACCTATCGCATTGCATATTTTGAAGTGTGAAAACAATCTTATGACTTCGGTTGAAGCTTTTATTGCCGAAGTTGTTCATTATAAATTTAGCGTTTGAAGTCAGATTTTGTAATTGATCTCTGGTAGTCAACGTGTTCTTTGTTAAGGATTTTCAACGCAACAAGAAATCCGAAAAATCCTTAAGCAGTGACACGAAGTTTCTATGTAACATAGACTATAACAAAACAACAACACTATACAAAAAATATTAAGCAAAGAACCCAACATCAATAAAATTATATTAAAACATTCTAAATATATTTCAGAACGAAAAAAAAAGAAAAAAAAGATGACACCGATTATCACGTGCACACGCAGAATCGCGAAAATGGAAACGAACGAAAACGAAGATATGGCACAACAAAAAACAACAAAAAAACAAAGGTCTTTGATTATGGTTAACGATAGCCGGAGGTACTCAGACATTGGACAGCATATATTTAAATATGCACCCAAAACTAACAAAACAAAAAAAAATTCAAAATATAGAAAAAAAATTTAAAAAATCCTTAAAGAAAATTCGATTGACTTTAACCAAACAAATTCACAATTATTGATTACATTAAGTTTCTGTCTTATCAATTCACTCCTGAAAATGATCTCGGATGAGATTGAAAGTACTTGGGAAAATAAAAAAAAAAATGAAAAAACTACAACGTCTCCCTTAATGAATTTAATATCAACATTAAGAAGTCAATCAGAGAATTCGAGAGGATTAAAATAAAAATAAATAGACGTATGTCCAGATTATTCAACCAAACATGCTTGAACACTCACACACACACACACACATACACAGATATATATATATATATATATATATATATATATATATATATATATATATATGTGTGTGTGTGTATGTATATGTGTATAAAAAGTGAACATTGAAGTCAACATTCAGAGGCGACAGTCTATTTCATACTGGACCCAATATGATTGCATCCAGCATGAAACATCCTGTAGCCCCAGAATGTTGACTTCAATGTTCACTTTTATATTTATTTTACATACGCTCTATCTCTGATATTGAGGACTTTATCCCATAAATATAGCACACCTTAAAACGATATTTCTTCATATATATATATATATATATATATATATATATGTGTGTGTGTGTGCATTATAATAATATTTTTTGTTTAAAAATATGATTCCTTCGCTACATAAGAGTTCTCATGTTTCAAAAACGAGAGCCGAAACCATCCAAATAATTATTAAAATTAAGTTGAATTGCGGTGTTTAGTCCCGTTTCATCTTCAAGCGAAATTTTAGAAATAAGCCATCTCTCGGTTTACATGTGTTTTTAGGCATGGTCCTTTACAGAACTAAACACCACAATTCAACTTAATTTTAATAATCATTTGGATGGTTTCGTTTGCACCTGACGAGTTCTTTTCTATTTTCTGCATACATATATATATATATATATATATATATATATATATATATATATATATATATATATATACACACACACACACACACACACACACACATATACACACATATATATATATATATATGTATGTATATAAACGTTATTTTTAGCGGGTACTCCTATTTGAGCAGACACTCTATTAATTTCTAAAAAACAACATATTTATTTATTTATTTTCCCATACCGGCCTGAATATTTGAGGAATCTTATTGAAGAAAAATCTGTGCCATTACTGCGTCTTTTTTGTGTTCATATAATCTTTTATTTAAACTTCTTGAGGTTTCTTCAAGACCGTCCAATGCCTTAAGTATTTCATATTCAATGCGAAACAAAAGGTTCATAAAATATTTTCAAAGAGACAAAATCTTCCTGATAAACACAACGAATCAAAAAATATATTGGTTTACTCACTAACTCTATCAAAACTACAATCGAAAAGATTTTATCTAAATTCAACATAAAATTTGTACATTATTTACATTATTCGGACTATTGCCCTCATCTTTGTCGCCAAATTTATCACAACGTTTCGGCTGTTGTACGCTCCGGCCTTCTTCAGGTGGTTGGAATGTCGAACTGAACCCTTTATTTCGCTCACTGGGGTAGACTGTTCTAGTTCCACGCCATGTTTTGATGGATGTCGGTTATCAGTTATCTCCTGTTAATTTCCCTCTGAAAGTTCTCCACTGCCTTAACCGGGTAAGAGGGGAATTAGCAGGAGATAACTGACATCCATTAGACATGGCACGGGGAACTAGAACAGTCTACCCCAGTGAGAGAAATAAAGAAGAAGGCCGGAGCGTACAACGACCGAAACGTTGTAACAAATATGGCGACAAAGATGAGGACAATAGTCCGAATAATGTAAATAGTGTATTGAAGCAGTGATTTTTTTTTATCAGTCGAGATCCATATTCGTAATGCAAATGTCTTTTGATCAGAGGATTTGAAAATAAAATGAAGATTTTCGAAAAAATCACTTCGCACAAAAAGGGAAAAATAAAATAACACGTAAGAAGCACATGATAAAGGAAACCATGCACTTGCAGAACACACACACACACACACACACACACACACACACATATATATATATATATATATATATATATATATATATATAGCTAGCTAGCTAGCTAGATACCTCAATCTGTATATTTCTATATCCGCGTGTTCATATCTATCTATCTATCTATCTAGCTAGCTAGCTAGCTATATATATATATATATATATATATATATATATATATATATATATAAAGAGAGAAAGAGAAAGGCACACACACACACACACACACACACACATATATATATATATATATATATATATATATATATATATAAATATAAATTAATTTATCTAAGCATTAAATTAGTTAAATCTAAAACAATAAAAAAATTCATACAAAATAAAAGAACAAGTCAAAACTAAAAGGAGTTTACTCTATCAAGTGCAAGGATTGCCAGAAAGAATATATTGGAGAAACCTCAAGAAGTTTAAAAGTTTAAATAAAAGTCACACAAAAACTTTTTTCATTTTGTTATTTGTTTTTGTTATTATCCTCTAAAACTTTTCTTGATATATAAAATTTTATATATCATTATCCTATATATATATATATATATATATGAAGGAAAAAAGAAGAGAAAGGAGGAGGAAGAAGAAGTAGACATATAGGAAGAGAGTATTTCAAAAATTGAAATATACGCAAACATATGGTTTAGCAGCAGATGATTGCTGGAATTGGATTTTCTTCAGTAACAATACTCCACGATTCTTTTCTGCTCTTTACGTCTCTGACGTTCGTAGTCAAACGTCGGCCATTTTAAGAAATTACACAATACCTTATAACGACAGGCTCACAACAATTCTAGCATTTAGGAATTTTTCCCAGGGCGTCTGTTGCCAGCGTGTTTGCTGGTCCGAATCTTACATGGCCTGGGCTGTCAGGCGTAAAGCGACAATCGACTGTAACTTTCACTACTTCTGCTGTCTCCCATTAGTGAACATTGATCTGTTTTTCGACTTTCCTCGTCTATCCACCACCAGCAGTGAGTCATTATTCCCTACTTGACCGGCGGCTCAGAAGTTTTATTTTGTAATTCATCGAGGTTCATTCTCAAGGCTGTCAAGAAAGTCGGCAACCATTTCTACTCTGAAGTCTGGAAGCCTGAGGGAACCTGTGTCTTGCTTCTCTACATTGTCAGAAATTAGGACTTTTGCAACTAAATGCAGCAGTTATTACGTTTCTCATTGAAAAAAAAAGCCTTAAAATTCAATCGCAAGAATCTTGTGGCCATGACTTAAAGTTAGCTAGTCTGACATTAGAACAAGATTTCGACATATATATATATAATTTGCAAATTAAAAAAATAATAATATTTTTTTATGAAAGTATTTATTTATTTATATATATATATATTTGATATTTCAGATTGACCTAAACCTTTCTTCAGAAATAACTGTTGAGGTCAATCTGAAATATCAAATATATATATAAATAAATAAATACTTTCATAAAAAACATTATTATTTTTTTAATTTGCAACTTTTTCTATATATACATAGAAAAAGAAAAAGAAAAAGAAAAAGAATCTCAGGAGGATTTATGAAGCAGGTATAATATCCATCTCACGCACGGTGAATACTAGACCTGGTTTCTTTAGTATTTCCCCTTTTTTAGCGAGATTAATGCTCGACAAGCATCCACATAAAATTTTTAGATCATAATAGAATTCTTTTCATTTTCTTTTTCTTTTTCTTTTTCATTCAAAATAATTAAAAATTTTTTGGAATACGTTTCGAAAGCGTCGCCCATGTGACGACAACGTGAACATGCTAAACGGAAAGCTGATCATTTTAAAAATTTTCAGTTATCTGTTTTGGATAAGACTTGTTTTTATGTCCATCGTCTTTGTCAAACTGAACTGAATTGTATTTTAATGAATATTGTCCTGAAGAAGGTTTATTAAACCGAAACGTCAGACGTCGACATTTCATTCATTTTAAACAACATAATTGCATGTAAGGATTTTGTTTGTTTTTTTCCAAATTTTTCTTCATTCTGTCGGATCTATATCCATTTACATTTGCTTACATATATATATATATATATATATATATATATATATATATATATATATATATATATATATATATATATATATGAAACAATTAAATCAATAATATTCGGCCTAAATTGATAAGTCATAATGAAGAATATTGTTACTCCGACAGGAAACGAACCTGCATTACTTTTTATTTCTATCAGGGAAACTACTTTTTGAAACAAAGCGTGCCTCTATCAGTTAGGTCACCGAGCAGGGTTTTGAATTATCTTTTTAAGGAAAACAAGTCTTTTCGTTGGGACCTCTACGTAACTATATCTGTTAGCTTCAGTTTAGTACCCGAAACGTAATCAGCAGTAATTTTTTAAAGTTTTTTTTTTTTTATCCGACAATATTGCTTATGACGTTATTTTTAATGGGAGCACGTACTTGAATTGCTATCCCATTTTTTTAATTTTATTAAGAAGTAAAATTAATAAAAAACGGCATAAATTGTACCTCCTCCTTAATCATAATTATTTTCATCAGGGAAGCCATTTTTGAGCTAAAATATTTATATTTTAGGAAAGCATTCTACTGAGAAATATATTTCTATTATTCATATTTAAGGTAAATTATCCCGTACCAATTACCTTAATATCATTGAAGACCAGGTACAACACTTAAAAGCAACAATCTTCTACGATAGACGGTCATTGTTTCAAGAAATTTATTGTATTACCTTGGCTGGCGAACTTACCAGATTTAAACCACTTTGAAATTTTTTTCACTTCGTCGATAAATTTTCGTAATTATTTTATTATCTTGGTTTCATTCAAGATATTTAATTTTTACGCAAACAACCATGACAAATAAAATGCCTCTGAAAGACATTGCCCTGTGCCAGATTTAGCGATATCAATAGCTAAACATACGCTTTGAATCATGTTTGCGCACGAATTTTTTACGTTGAATAGTTTTTTAGTCAAACTGGGAACGACTGCAAACAAAATGCAAAGAGATGAACATACAGATAGGGTTAAAAAAAATCAGGTAGAGGAAAACATGTACAAGCATACAGATATACAGAAATACAAACACACGCAAACTCGTAGTGATGCATATAGACACATACAGAGGCAGATTGTCAGATAGAGAAAATAAAGATAAGAAGCAAGCAACAAATAATCTTGGAAATCAAATTGAGCTGTTGGGAGTCACGATGGATGTAGAGACAGGAGTGTAGATAATATTGAAATGACTTGTGTCCTTCTTTGCCAAATAATTTGTTTAGGGTAAACTTTGTGAAAAATCGGTGAACAGATTGGACCTAGTAAATTATTTATTGCGACTTCTTTCTTTCCTTCAATCTTTCTTTCTTTCTTTCTTTTTATTTTTCTTTCTCTTTTACCTTTCTTTCTTTCTTTCTTTCCTTTTTTATCTTTCTTTCTTTCTCTTTTAATTGCCTTTCTTTCTTTCTTTCTTTCTTTCTTTCTTTTTACCTTTCTTTCTCTTTTACCTGTCTTTCTTTCTTTCTTTCTTTCTTTCTTACATTCTTTTACATTTTTTCATTCTTTCTTTTTACTTTTCTTAATTACTTTCCTTTATTTCTTTCTTTTTTACCTTCCTTCATTTCTTTCTTTTTCTTTCTTTCTTTCTTTCTTTCTTTCTTTCTTTCTTTCTTTCTTTCTTTCTTTCTCATTTACCTTTCCTTCTTTTTTACCTTACCTTCTTTTTTACTTTCTTTCTCTTTTACCTTTCTTTATTTCTTTGTTAGCTTACTTTATTTTTCTTTTACCTTTCTTTATCTCTTTCGTTTTACCTTTCATTTTTTTCACCTTTCTTTTTCTTTTTTATCTTTCTTTGTTACTTTGTTTCTTTCTTTATTTTCCCACACGTCTTTTTATGCCCGCGTTCCTTTGATTTTTCTTTGCTTTCTTTTTGTTCATTTTCCTTAGAAAAATCATAAACGTTTACTTTGTTTCTTTGTTTCTTTGTTTCTTTCTTTGTTTCTTTGTTTCTTTCTTTCTTTTGGCTTTCATTCCGTAGCATATGAGAGTTGGGAGTGGAAGTTAAAAAGTGTGGCCATCGATGTTATTTGATTAAAGTGATTAATAACAGCTGATCAAATAAAGTTGGAAGTTGACCATTCACATCTGAATCATCCACCACATCCACCCCGTCTCTCTCTCTCTCGCTCTAGCCAAGCTTGCTATCACTCCCATATACATCCGCCATATTTCCCTTCCCATATTTTGTTCTCCCTTAAAAGCGACTTTACGTTCATTACATCAGCAGGAAATAATATGTTGCAATGAATGTGAGAATTAAAAAAAAAAAAAAGAAGAAAACAAAGGCATTGGTAGCAATGAATAGCATCATGCATTTCGACTTTTGAAAAACACAGCACGGTTGAAATATCTTATCCACCACCTAACTGTGCTCACATCCATTGTTTGGTCTCTGAAATGATCAGCAAGATTCTATGAATGCACATGGAGAAATTCGTTGTTACATTTCTGCTTCGTCCACACTGTTATGCTAGACGCTCTTCTGTCAGACTGCTACGCAAACACTCTTTGCGACAAAGCCCAAAATTATGTTTTTTTGATAGGAAGTTTCAAACTTTAATCGCGAGCACTAATATACCCATTACTTTTGGAAAGAGTTTCGCAGATTATATATATATATATATATATATATATATATATATATATATACACACCCCAGAACTGTTACTTTGTGGAAACAGACCCCCGAGAGGATGCTTCCCCTACGACGGCAAAAGTCTAGTCCAGGATCAGCTGATATCTACACTAGATATAACAGAAAGCCTCTTCCTCCTCCCACTCCATTACAACATTCTCAATCTTTGAGGTCTTGGACCTTGTATTGGGTGAACTAAATTAAAAAAAAAAATACGATCACGTATCTATCTGTGTGCGTGTGTGTGTGTTTGTGTGTGTGTATATATATATATATATATATATATATATATATATATATATATATGCAAGCAGGAATACAAATGAATTCTCAGAGTATTTACTTGCATTCTCATAGTATTTTTATGCATTTATGTGTTTATAGATATGTATGTCTAAGAAACTGAAAGTCAAAATGGCTACAATTGAAAGAAAAGAGGAAAAAGGGAAATAAAAGAGAGAAAAGCTTAAGTAGTGAGTGTAAATAAGCATAGCATTCTACACGTACGCACAGACAGGTGAATGGGCGCGAAGGCACACCTGCACTACACACAAACACGCACGCACACATACATTATGTCAAAAAACTGCATCAATAAAATATGCATATGAAAAAGAAAATCTAGAAGTATAAGCAGTCAATTGCTGATACCCCTTTACAAATCGGCGGAGTGATTCCCGAAGGGTCCGTCTACGAAACTTTGGAGACGGGATGCAATCAGCGAAGTGACAAATCTTTTTACCTGTTTTATATATATATATATATATATATATATATATATATATATATATATATATATATATGCTTAATAAAAATACAGTCCAGAAGGATTTTCTCCCACTGTGTACGTTTATCTGTTTATCTAATTATGCAAACTTATTCTCTTTCTTTTTCTCTCACCCATCCACACACACACACACACACATATATATATATATATATATATATATATATATATGTCTCAAAGAAAACACTTAAAAATCCGATTATAAATTTATTTCAGCAGGTAAGATTTTAATACCTGCCTCATAAGACCGAATATGTCAAACAGACAATATGCCTCATAAGACCGAATATGTCAAACGGACAATGTTAAAAAAAAAAACCATTACATATTGTCTGGATAAATTTAAACCATTTTGTAATTTCGGTCTGAGGAGGCAGGTATTAAAAACTTACCTGAAGAAATAAATTTGTTATCGGATTTTTCGAGATGTGTTAAGATTTTACCTTTGATGCATACCATATTGCTCTGTAGACAATACATTGATCTATCTTTTAATATTTTATTAATATGGATCTATTTTTTTTTAATATTTTCATGGATCTATCTTTTTAATATTTTATATTAAAACGACCTACTTGTATTATCGTTTCCACTTACTGATTTAATATCTATCTATCTGTAAGCAAACCTATGCACATCTGTATAGATGTGCATTCAAATATCTATCTATATGAGGAGGATTTTATAGTCCATATATCTGTCCTGTGAAAGGGTTTTATATTCTGCTGTGAATGGTTATGCATAAAAGGCAGCTTGTATCTCATGTCGTTAAGGCCTACGTTCATTTTACAATGTAAGCAACTGATTATGTAAAAAAGAAATTACTGATCAAATTAACCACAGAGGATGCAAGACTGACTTATTTTGGTTCGAATCCAAATCACCAAAGTCATCTGCAGTAGAACATGCCCAACGCTTGACTTAATATCCGAAAGGTTAACTCTTAAGGGACAAAATAAAAGAAAAAAAAAACAAAAAAGAAAGAAAAAAAAAACAGCGTCCTTCAGAAGCCAATTTCACAATCTTATCTCACTACAGTTATTACGCTGTCCAAGCGAGGCACTATCGTCTATTTTTAGATGTCAGTGCGTGCCAAGGACGAAAGAAAATCGTTCTTTGCCAATTCTGACACCGCTTCCCTATGAGAAAGAATTTCCTTTTTCGCCTTTCTGCAATGTCTTTTATTTGCGGCGGACAGTTACGATGATTGGCAGGCGAAGGAATAAAGACACGACAATTTGACCGATGTGAGTAAAAAGAGTCGTTATCATCTAGGCTAAAAATATTGCTTCATCCATTCATCTTTCTCTCTATCTATAACATATATATATATATATATATATATATATATATATATATTGTTATATTTCTTAGAATAGTTCTGAAGATAAGACAAATTGGATGAAAAGGACTTTGGAAAATAGTTCTTTGTCCTTGCGGACGCGTTTCGTCATTCAACTTTATCAAGGCAAGATCAAGCGAAAGCTCGTTATCACTTTCAAAAAAGCTCGTTATATTCGAGACTCCGTAGACACCGGTACTAGTAGTAACACCTTCCGATAATATCCGCACTAGTAATACTTGTTCAAGTAGTAATCGCCAAATAGTCATAATGATCAGAAGAGAATCGTAATCCGTATAATAGTAGAGTAGAGAGAGTGAACGTATAGCAATAGTGGATAGACAAGAAGAATGAACAGTGTTGCGTAGAGTATAGAGTAGGAATAGGGAAATATTTATTTGTGTTTATACAAAATGTGACATAAAGCTAAAAGGGGAAAGAGGAAACGGACAGTCTTCTTCTGTCTTAACGTTTAACTTAGCCACAAACACTGACCCAAAACATACAACAGTATTCCTAACACCAAAACAACTCATTCTTACTTTCTATTCTTAATTCATCTACCGCACTGTCGCTATGAAAGTCCTAACTATTCCCCATATGTATAATTCATTATCATTGGAATGAGGGGTAATAAAATAACAATTTAAAAATCTAAACCCCAATGAATATTTACAAAAAAGATAAAAACCATATAAAAGAAACTGAACAAAATATTGTTAGTAATACAATCCTTAACTGTGGCAGAAACATCAGTTCACTGGACGAAATCAATGCGGGACTTTAAGAATATAATAATATAAGACATTCATTCATCCCAAGCACTCAGTAAACTACACACTCCGTCGAACACAACAACAAAAACTTAAAACACACTCGAAACGAAAAGCGCCCCGCACCTACTGACATCACTGGTCACCTAACGTGAGTGCGGATGGAGAATGAAACCAAACAAAAAAATAGGCAGAGAAATAAAAGGGGCCTAGAGGAGGAATAGAGATCAGTTAGTCAACACGCTATTTCGTATTTATTCACTTGCTTGACATCATTGCTGACTGGCGATCTAGTTTCAAACCAGTGCCGGCAACGACACTTACTCTTATACAACATAAATAATATAAATCACTTGCCTTGATAAAGTCGAATGACGAAACACGTCGGCTAGGACTAAGAACTATTTCCATATATATATATATATATATATATATATGTTGGGGAAGAATACATAAAGATACAAAGTGGAAAAAAATTTTCTTGTGATAAAAATTATAGTTTTAAGTTATGCTATATATATATGTATATATATGTATATATGTAAAGGTGCGCAATATCAGAAATAGAGCCTATGTAAAAAAATAAATTATATAGACTAGAAATTCAAAATAAATAAATTATAATAAAGTTAAATAAAAAATTATAACTTGATACATTAAAAAAATAATAAGTAAAATATAATTAAGTAAAATAAAACAATACATATAGTAAGGACAAAATATGAGTACAACAGTCTGAACAATGTAAATAATGTAAAAGGATAGCAAGTTTTTGAGAGCGAAAGGACAGGAAACCTAGAATAATAATAATAATAATAATAATAATAATAAGAAGAAGAAGAAGAAGAAGAAGTTGTTGTTATTATCATCATTATTATCATTCCCGGGTCATGCACGTAACTCGAAACTGGCAATCGATGCAAATGGATCTGTCCTGTAAGTATATTTGCTTACAGACCGTCGAAAAGTTTTATTTGAGTCTTTTGAGACGATAAATGATAATTTTTGTCCACTGTTTCTTCTCTCGTATCTTTTTATAATAAACTTACTGGAAGTTCAAACCGAACCCTCTGCTCAATCCATGGGACAGAGTGTTCAGAGTTTACTGACAATATATATATATATATATATATATATATATATATATATATATATATATATATATATCTTATTCGTCAATTTCTTATTATCTTCCCTTTCCCCAGAATATATGATTTTTTTTTACACTAGCTGACTCAGGGATGGAACTCGCGACACCTAGGCAACTCAGTTCACTTAACCAACACTTGTATCCATTGGAGTATGTGACCCTTCAGCAAGGTTCAGTGGAAGAGAAAATCCGTATAACAAGGACGAATTAACGTTTTAGATTTAATTTACTTCAGTATATCCTCTATCATATGACAGAAAACGTTGACGTAGTTTAGCGGATATTGGCTTGGAGATTAGAAGTGGAGTGCTGAGTTCAAATTCCAGCCGGCACTGTTTCGTTTGCTTTATTTTTTTGCATGAGTCTGTACACATAACGAGGAAAGAGGGCTTGGAAAATTTGAGCCTCACAGTCCACACTGAATGTGAGAGGGGAAACTGAATATAATACCTAACAAGCTTGTGTGAGTGGATCGTAGAACATTAAATGGGAGAAACAGTAAAAAAATCAAAACACTGTTAAGAGTCGCAAAAGATAGGAAGATGTGGAGAGACATGATCTCCACACCCTGAAACGACACAGCACATAGAAGAAAACTTTGTTAATGTTGTAGTTTATTTAAAGCCAGAAAATATTTTTAGATTGTAAGAATTATTTTTTAGATAATAATGATTTACTCATACAAGTCTTACTTACTCATAGCTAGGGAGAGATGTATTTGGGCGTAACTGAATATAAAGAACCCTACTGGAATTGGAATTTGGCTCTTTAATTTCCATTACATCACACGCTTATCCAAGCTTACAGCAGCTGGTATTCCGAAGCGGTCATCCATCTGGATACTGACAGGGCTCGACGCTGCTTAACTTCGATAATCACACGTGAATCGGCGTTTCGACCTGATATGGCCGCTATGGATAGCACTAGAGTATAAAAATTTCCCAGTTCTCGCTATCACTTAAACTTAACTGCATACAACCCCCGGTGACCTGTTTCGTTTTGCTGACGCCGCTTGGTCCCAGTACTAACCATTTTCTTCTCCTTGATATGTTTTTAATTTCCATTCAACTCAGAAAGTTGTATTTCCAGCCATTTACTTCCTTGGACCTCTCATCTTTCTGAGTGCCCGACTATCTTCAATCTTCTACGTTTTTTTTTTTTTTTTATCAGTTACCATCTATAATCCTTATTGTTTTATGGTAAGGAAAAAAGCAAAGTTGATTAGCTATGCGCTGAAGGCGCATTGTTGTTAGCTTCCAACGCACAAAGATGGCCAATCGTCGCCATATTATTTGATTATGGAAGTTTTCAATGTAGTTGAGAGAATACAGATTGGAGAGATGATGCCTTGCCGTGGTAGAAGGTGTTATTACGTAAACGATTTAGAGCGGTTTATACATTTTGGTTGCTTTCTTTGCAAATATAAGCAAGCACAAATAGAACCACATACACATGACTACACCATGCATAAAACATTGATAAAACCTGCGCGTATACTATTTAAACTAATATATATATATATATATATATATATATATATATATATATATGACGAAATACGTAGGCACTGAGGCTGCATTAACATGTATAGTGAAGCCAATATTTTCAAGTACTTTGATGTGGCATCGTCACAAATTGATGAATTCATTATTCTATTAATATACGGATAATACAATAATCACGTGAACCAGGAACTTTTGCATTAATTGCTGACCATTGTCAACGCCCCTTTTTATAATTCAGAAGTCAGGTCATACAGATTGAATATCAGATCTATCTATCTATCTATCTATCTATCTATCTATCTATCTATCTATGTCAATATATTCATTATCTATGTCAGTCTGATCATTATCTATCTATCTATCTATCTATCTATCTATCTATCTATCTATCTATCTATCTATGTCAGTCTGATCATTATCTATCTATCTATCTATGTCAATATATTCATTATCTATGTCAGTCTGATCATTATCTATCTATCTATCTATCTATCTATCTATCTATCTATCTATCTATCTATCTATCGCTGTATAAATACACATATACATTCTAATGCAAACGAAGAAGATCATATATTTTGCTGACCTATAGGGGTTATTTCCGTTAGGAAACGTTTAATGTCTTAGTCAAGCCGAGCTAAAACGTTCAACTATTTCGTTCAACCCTCATTGCGTAACTCATTCCTCCGCCTGGATGTAAGCTTAGTTAATATGTCCTTTTCTAGGATGATTTTAACACTTTCTATACACTGGGATATTCGTTCTTCGTCGTACAGGAGTCAGCACTATTCCCCGACGAAAAGATTTCCTTTTGGACACAATATCATCAATTGTGATTGCTACGCAAGCATACAGATTCAGTTCCGAAAGTCGCTCAAAGTTTAGGTAAAAAAAAAAAAAAACACGAAGAAACAGAGTAAAAAGACTCCGATATGCAAAAATAAAATAGTTACATATTTACTACTGGTGCAAAAAATTACAATGCCAAGCCAAGAAAAAAAAAAAAAAGAAAGAAAAAAGACACTTTTTCAAATGCTTACTTTCTTGAGAAGCAGAAATTTTCTATATTTTTTAGCGACAGATTTCTTCAAAATTGGATTTAGTAATTCGTAAGTGTTTTTTATTTTTATTTTTACTAACTCTGGTGTGTACAAAGATTATTTTTCTGAACACTGACGCGAAGGAGAATAGAGACGTAACGAAGGGTTTCATTGTCCGGTCGGTGAAATGCTGACAGAGGGCTCCGCTGTATGTTTACAACACACTTTGATGAAGACTGATTAGTTCAGACTTAATGGAAACAAACAATAACTGAGCAGTACTAAAAAAAGAGCCAGATGTGAGACCACTAGACATGTACAGAGGTCTGAGTAAAAACTAATCTTGGAGATTAAAAAATGTTTTCAGTTTAAAACTCTTTTAAGGTTACGAGAAATACAGACACCCGACGTAGCCTGTAAGCTACAACAACTAAAACGTTGCGATAATAACAACAAAGATAAGGACATTAGCTCAACTAGAAATAACGTAAAGAACGATAACTCCTCGTCTCTGGAATTCAGAGAGAAATTGATGAAAACATTTTTATTTAATGTTTAAGGTTATTATCAATGCCGGACAGCATTTGAAGAATTGATTTTGGGATTCAACAAATTAAAAATCGAATTTCATTTTCTATATTCCGTTTTTTTTTCATATTAATGTTCATTAAATACGAGACACATGAGCCACTCAAGGTAGAGGGTTACACAACCCTATTCTATAACACTCTACCTTATACCAATAGACTGCTTCGGGGATTGAACATCGCTTCCTGGCTGCAATCACTTTTATAGACCGGTGGCTCCTTTCTACTATGCCGTTTCCCGCCGGCACGTAGGCGCACCCGAACCGAAGCCGCACAGGGAGGAAGTAAAAAGTTTCAGATTATGATAACGGTTGACGCTAGACTAGAAGAGGTTAAGATCTTAATGATCGGGGAAGTATTCTTTTAGGTGTTTGTTCCATATAGTGACATTTACGGGGAAGAAGCTTCCTGAGTGGAACTTCCTCTTTACCAATGGAATATGAAGAGAATGTAGATGAGTCGATCCTGTGGATGCAACATGGTGGTTTCTAGGTGTGAATGTCTCGACTGATGGAACTAACTAGCTCACTGGTCATATAAGTAGTGATAAAGCAACAAGAAGCAAGTAATGTTTCGTCTATAGCAAAAGGGTTACAGGGTGAAAAATAATTCATCACACACAAGGCAGCGTCAGTTATCTTTTTTGTTTTAAATTCTGGTTTAGCTATAAAATAACTATTATTGCTATAATGAAAGACAAAAGATTTTAGGTTTGGTTTGATTTGTTTCATGGCATATCAACCACAAAGAGTTATTTAATGTAAAAAAAAAATTCCTTTATATATATATATATATATATATATATATATATATATATATATATATATATTTATTTCAGTTGAGCTCTCTGGGAGTAAATGTGAGTTTTTAAACAATGACTATTACCGCTAATAATGCAAGACTCCTCGAATCGAGTTCTCTCAGTCATTGTGTTTATCAAAAAATAAGTACGCTTAAATTCATCTTCGTCCCTGCCGGGCGCTAACGGCTGAGTGTTAGAATCCCCACTTCAGTCGGGTTTCGATCCTGGCTTGAGGTAACCGGACGTCTAGCCACACTGATGAGCTGTGATACAGCGAAACAGTCTGTCTGTGGATGACAATATATATCCATGTGAATAGAAAGTATTCTTTTTTTTAACGAAATCACTTTGTAGATCATGTTTCATTATCACTTTTGCAAAGAGGGCTTATATGCGAGAGACAGTTTAGGATTGCAGCTCCTGACCAAACAGTACTCCAATTTCGGTCTGATCTTGCTCTTATGAAGATAGAGGTTAGCATGAGAAGTCAAGGACTTCGGTAAGTCCTTGACTTACCGAAGCGGTAGAGAGAGCCGATCATTTTACCTGCATCATTAGCGATGGATCGTATATAGGAATTCCACTTGAGGTCGGGTGTGAGTTTAAGGCCTAATATCCTCTCGAGTCACGGGGTGTCGTCGATGGGTATCTGTTCATCGTGACAGGCGGTAGTTCGGGATTTGATCGGCGGTGATGGAATGTAACCAGTGTGGTTTTTGAGACATTGAATATAACCAGCCATTTTTTTCCCTATTGGTTAGTTTGTGCAAAATCGGAAGAGAGATTAGCCGCCAGTCTATGACCATTGAAGCTTTAAGAGGTATGCCCGTATATAGCCGTATCATTGGCATAGATGTATACAAATGATGTACGCACAAATGCACGTGAAGCCTGATTAACCAAAGAAAATCTAACAACACAAAATTAATAATACAAGAATTTTCTATTTCTTTTTTTTTTCCGTATCTTATTCTCTGATGAAGCTTTAATAAAAATGAAACAGATTAGGTTAATAAAAACTTCCTATTTGTTCTTATCTTAACATTGTGTCGGATTCTGAGCCATATTTGATTAGTATTTTGTTTCCAATTCATGCATAAATAATAGCTGTCCACTCGTATCCGAGGATAAGCAACTACAAGAGCGGCTAGCCAATCCCTGTTGCAGCATTTGTGTTTATTCAACAAACACAGAGCCAACCTGTTGTGTATACTGCCACTATGCTGAGCGTACCTTAGTCACAGTTTCTGGGAGAAAGCGCGTTACCTGGCGTGAACAACAGTCTGAACAAGGCCAGCACGCTCAAACCCTCAACCACGATGACTTATGACTTTATGCTAGCACAACTATTGATGGCTCCCAAATCTACCCAGTTTCGCTCATAACATTTGGGTAAAACCGTGGTATACTTTTCAGGCACTTTCCAAAGGTGCCACAAGCTAGGAAAGCCTCTCCCAGACCGACCGATAACATCAATAATTCACCGTCCTGACAAATCGACTATGGTCAGATTCGAACCGGTGTCTCATGATAAAGAAAACGAACGTTCTAACCACTCGTGACAAATTTATATATATATATATATATATATATATATATATATATATATATATATATATATATATATATAGCCAAGTATATGATAGGTGTATATAGAATAAATTCCAATAGCCAACAATTACTATTCTTAAAAGAGTGCTCAATACAGAGTAGAGCAGATATAATTATTTATTTAAAAATTATAACATAAATATGTTATAAAATCACTACAAAAATAGCCATTTTGTTTCAGCACCTCCGGTGTCTTATCAAGTGATGATGTTGAATGTAAAATAAATGGTTTTAAAAATTTGAAACTTTTAAAACCAGGACACGGATGTAGTTTAACGTTTTACCCAGGACGGCATTGAATCGGGTGGCTTGCCGTTTGAATAGTATCATTAAATAGTTTACTATTGTTTAAACATACCATTTTATTCTTATTAACCAGAAATCTTTTAGTAATAAATTTCTGGACTTTTGATGAAATGTTTTGTTATAATTGTTATTGTAGGTAAATGTATAGAGGCTTTATTGCCACCCTATATATATATATATATATATATATATATATATATATATATATCGAACGGAAGTTTTTTTGTTATTCACTGAAGACATTTGTCTTTATGATTAAAAGATGTACATGAGGCAAGAATTCAGAATTTTCAGACTATACTATATATATATATATATATATATATATATATATATATATATATATATATATATATAGTTTTATTATATGTTATATTTATAGGTTAAACTGTTAAATTTCAGGGATAGAGCGTATGTAAATATAAAAGTGGATATTGAAGTTAACACTCAAAGGCGATTGCGTTTAGTATGAAACAGACTGTCGCCTCTGGGTGTTGACTTCAATGTCTACTTTTATATATATCGCAGACTCTATAAGTGAACGACTTCTTCAGTCTTCGGCTTTGACCGGCCTTGAAACGTCTATGCTACTCGAAAACATGTTTTTCTACCTAAATAAGGTCCTGTCGAAGAATTTCGACGTTCTAGGTGGCGGAATTGAAGAGTTTCACACAAAAATTTGATGTAGGCACGTTGCTCTAAATTTGTTAGCCATCGTAACGAGAGAAGAGCCATTTCAATATAACATTACACAAACTTTGTGAAGTATCCGAACACGAACACATAGTACGATGCTTATTGGCAGACAGGCTAACAATGGACGGCACAGTTACAGCGCGTAGCCACCTCCGTCACAAGCACGCACGAAAGCAAAAAAAAAAAAAAAATGGCTGCATATTCTCACATATTCACATGTATGGATTTAATTATATTTTCCAATTATCTTATTATTGTTGTATTCTGCACGTTAACAGACTTGTCCAATTCACCTTCTACTTTCGTAAACATGCTCACAATTCTCATAAAAACGATACTGTTGTTCGGTGTCACCAGCACAAGGGAAATAAATATAATTATCTCTATTTTTTACTGCCAATATAAAAAGTTGAATACTTGCAGAGAAAACATATACATACACACTTGACGAATTATGCATTAAGCTTCCTATCATTAACAGACGAGCGCACGTCCCTATATATATATATATATATATATATATATATATATATATATATATTTGTATATTTAGGCAGCAATCCTTCCTTTTTGCATGTTTCATTAAAAACGACAGACAAGGTACTACGGTTGAGCTTTTTATTTAATTTTTCTTGTGTTCTGACAAGACCTTTCTTTTCTGGACAAAAGTGTGTAAAAACTGTCCGAATGTTCTGTGTTTCCGAGCGCTTTCGGCTATACCTTTTTAGCCATTATCAAGGATGATTCAATTATCAGCTTAGTAGAGTGTGTGTGTTCTGTGTATGTTCAGTGTGTGGTAGTGATGTTTTTAGTTTCCGAATACGGTTAGCACATTTTGGCTTTGTTCATAGTTAATATTGTTAAGAGTTGGCTTTTTCTTTTTATTATTAGAGCTTCCATTATTTTTTAGTCTTTTTTTTGCAAGTGGATGCAGTTAATATATTTGTGTTTTCTACTAGTATGTTCCTAATAGTGTCAGGTAAATCTGAGTGTGTGTTTAAATGTGTTCTGATGGAACTGTGATCAGATAGGTGTAATGTAAGACGTCTGGATAAACATGTGGTTGTGTAGCCGATGTAATTATTTATGAGTCCGGTTTGGTGAGGAACGCAGTTCTTACACACTCTTTGTCCAGAAAAGAAAGCTCTTGTCAGAACACAAGAAAAATTAAATAAAAAGCTCAACCGTAGTACCTTGTCTGTCGTTTTTAATGAAACATGCATGCATATATATATATATATATATATCGTATATATCGTATATATCGTATATATATATATATATATATATATATAAAGTAAAAACGGATATATTGAAACGAAACAAAAGGAAAGAATGACAAAAAAATGAACTCAGTGAGGTAAATCGAAAAGCAAAAAACAGGAGAATTACAAAGCAAAGCCGGTTTTCATTTTTCTCTTCTCCTATCAAGGACAGAAACAAAAAAATATGCACATCGAATAAAACAGGAAACACAAAAGACAGGATTTTATATATATTAAATATATAATCATTAAAGAATAATAATTTCAGGCCTAAAAATCCCGTCCTGGATATGACGATGAACTAAATCCGCGTCCTGGGTCCATCAGCACGGCCTCTGATGAGGTTTTGAGGAGCGTGGAACCACATCTAAATTGTTGGCGTTTCTAGGTCCACCCTGACCCTGGGTGGTAGCACCTGTTAGGGTCTCAGCTATGGGTAAATAATTAACGAGCAAACTGCGGTCAAAACACTTTGAAAGTATAAAAATAGGGTTTAATACCAGAAATACTTTGTAAAAAATATTACCGGCAAAAATTTTAGAAGAAAAATTACCAGCAATAAATAGCTTGTCGGCATTAAATATCCCACTGAGGTTGATATCCCGTAAAACAAACCAAACCAAACCTAAAAGTCACTCTTACTGTTTATAGTGGGAAGCTGGAACGACTTAATATTTGTACTTACATCGGCGTGACATATTGTCAGTATTGATGAAGAAACATGCTGGTTTCTCGAGCACATATATCAACAGGTTTACCAACAGGATATATATATATATATATATATATATATATATATATATATATATATATATATATATATATATATATATAAGTACATAATTGGTATATACGGAATGAATTCCAATAACCAACAATTACTATTCTTAAAAGAGTTCTCAATACAAAGTAGAGCAGATATAATTATTTTTTATTTTTTTATTTTCAACATCATCACTTGATAAGACACAGAGTGTGTTGAAACAAAATGGCTATTTTCGTAGTGATTTTATAACATACTTATGTTATAATTTTTTTTTAAAAAATAATTATATATATATATATATATATATATATATATAATTTCATTTTCAAAATTGTTCTCCTACATGCTGATTACTGCTAATACCCTTGGAAAATGTATGAATCCTCTTCTTCTCACTTCTGTTAGCGGTAAATAGCAGGACAATAGACTGGGTTCTATAGCCTTGGATAGCAACTGGTGTAGGAGAAGGTCAACTCTGAATTCAAAACCTGCGGAGGGCCGTTTGGGGACCTTTGGTCACGTCGTGCATCAGGTCTCTGTATTCGGCCCTTGGTTGGTTCTGAGCAAAACCTTTACCACTATAATCAAATAACATCTGCTGGTGTCTTGTCGGTCGTCAGTTCCTTGGAACTGAGCTGCTTGACAGTCATACTTCGAATACAACGGGAGAGTCGAATATATATATGTATATGTATGTATGTATGTATATATATATTTAAATAGGTTTGAAACGGTACAAAAGCGTATTAAGGCATCAAAAACAAGAAATGTTGTATTGTAGGCCATGATAAGTTTAAAATAAAACACACACCAGTCGACCGGTTTCGTCCCCTCTCGTCAGAACTGTTAACGGGGAATTTAGATTATGAGGAAAAGAAAAAAAAAAAAGAAAAAAGTCTGTCATGGGTGATATGAATGAATGGACATATATATATATATATATATATATATATATATATATGAAGAAATATAGTTTGAAGGTATGGGATATTTATGGGATAAAGTGCTCAATATCAGAGATAGAGCGTAGGTCAATAAAAAGTGAACACTCCAGAGGCGACAGGCTGTTTCATGCTAGACGCAATAGGCCAGACGTTTACGTCTAGCATGAAACAGCCTGTCACCTCTGAGTGTTGACGTCTACGTTCACATTTATATATATATATATATATATATATATATATATATATATATATATATATATATATATCAAAAGATTTCATGGTCGCTGTCTTTTCAGTGACATAGTCCGTGTATATTTCCTTTTTATGTATATATTTCGATGTGTAAATTTCATATCTATGTTCATATCAATCTGAGTCAATTAATCTCTCTCTCTCTCTCTCTCTCTCTCTCTCTCTCTCTCTATCTATCTATCTATCTATCTATGTCGCGCTGCTTCAATACTACTCACAGAAAGGAAGAAAATAATATATATTTTCAGATTTATAGGGTGTCTTTCCACAGGGCAATTGGTATTGTAGTCGTCTAGCAGACCTATAACTGCCAGCTACTTAGTTCGATCTTCACGGTGTACCTAATACTTCTGGCTGTAAGCCAAAAGTAAGGTAATCTTAGTAAATAAATATGTCGATTTATAGGCTGGTTTTAATGATTTATATACATAGTAATGTTTAGTCTCCATTGTACATGAACCAATTCTATTGCTAGTCGGAAAGACTTTCTTTTGGACAACGTATCATTTGAATCTGACTTAGTTTTTTTATGACAAAATTGAAACTTTTTATAATATTTAATGAAGAAAGAGAAAAAAGTAGATCTTACTTTCTGCTACTTTTCGTTTTTCAATGTTTATAAAATATTGAAGTATTAGAGTACTTACTACGTCTCTGAAGAAAAATATTGGAAAACCTACAGAGAGACACAGAGAGTCAAGAGTAGAGTGAAAAAAAAAACCAGAGAGATGAAAACATTGGTGTATATGTATATCTATAGAAAGAGGAGAATGGAAGAGCAAAATTCGTATTTCGCTTAAATATACAGGGAGGGAGGGAGGAGAGAGAGAGAGAGAGAGAGAGAGAGAGAAAAAGAAAACTATCACTAATAACTAGCGAATAAATTAATTTATAACTTATAATAAAGATAACGAAAATGAGAAAATCCGCAGTCAATGGCTGAAACCTCCTGATGAGTGGACCAGGCAGTTACAAAAAGATTCGTCTACCTTTGGCATTGAGGTGCTGAACATCACAACAATCAGATAAGTGAAAAATTTGATTTGTTTTAAATATATATATATATATATATATATATATATATATATATATATATATATATATATATATATATATATATATATATATATATATATATATATATATATATATATATATATATTAAGTTAAGCGTGCCGAGCATAACCGTAGCTCCTCTGCGCTGAGGGACGCAGGTTCAAAACCTGGAGAAAAGCGCAAATTTTTATTTAATAATATTTCTCAGACCTGCAAGACGATAGACGAAAATAAATATGCTGTTTAATAAATAAACGGAGTACCTACTCAGATGCGTGTATCCACTAACGTTTAAAGTGATATATATATATATATATATATGATAAATTAATACGTATACACACACATATACTAGCACGTACATATATATGTATACATATCAGTTTTAATCTGTGTGTGTGTGTTTATATATATATATATATATATATATATATATATATATATATATATATAATTACTTATATATCACCTACACGTAGTTCCATCATCATACAAAAGAACTCTCGTCCGATGAGTTCCAAAACCTAAAACACGTCAGATAAAAATAATTCCAATTTGTCATACATCTTTCCTCCAAAATTTTCTTGATATATAAAATTTCATATATCGTGATCCCATATATATATATATATATATATATATATATATATATATATATATATATATATATATATATATAATCAAGGTTCGTTGAAAATTTCTCAGTTGGCAAAATTTTTACCAAATAGCCTGGACATCTGAATTGTTTGCAGTTCCTTTTGGCCGTACTTTTAAACACCTTCTCTTTCTCCCCCCATCTCTCTCTCTCACGCACACACACACAAACGCATATTATATATATATATATATATATATATATATATATATATAAGTAAGGAAGGAGTCTACAAAATAGAATCTAAGTAAATATCCGATCGATATGATCAATCATTATCGATAGGTCGGTTGTGAAGCCACTTTTGAAATTGCTGGAAGTCATTGAACGTTGCTGAATCAGAAATAAGTTTTCCTTTTTTCTCTTTTTCCTAAACTTTTTTTTTTACACTATAAAGACATTAATGTTCTTGAGAAGGAAGACTAGACGTCAACCAAATCGTATATTTTAGTGAATCAAAGAATTGTATTGAATTCAGTTTGTCGTGAACCCTAAAAACTTATGAACTAAGTTAAAATTCTATTCGCTCTCATTATTGGGATTACTTAGACTTTTTATCAAATCTTTTTCATCCAATTTAAGGCCCACGGGTCACTCAAGATAGAAATTTAATAAAGAAGATGTTGTCGAAGTGAAATGCTGTTAAAGGAGGATAGGGTTCATACGACAAAACCTCCCTCATTGCTTTCAGTTAAGTGCCATGCGTGACATACGCGCTTATATATCTTTCGACACAAGACAGATTTTTCCTGCAGTAGGTTGCCATTTCTTTCTGCGGTAGACCAGTTGCCATCCAAGTCTATAGAAACCGGTCTGTCCTGCTATTTACCCATAGCTGAGGGGAGAAGAAGAGGGTTCATACCTTTCCCAAGGGTATTAGCACGTAAGTGAATGCAGTGGATTCCACTGGAATTCGAACTTGACTCTCCGATTCCGCGATCCGATCCGCTAACAATTACCCCACCGTACCTCATTGCTTTAAGGTAGGTTAAGCGATGACAGAAACATGGTAAAGAAAAGAACAGATACTACACTTGGTATTTATTCGTTCTCACCAAGGTGACGGAGTATGACACAAGGCCGGTGTAAAGGGGGAGTCGTGACACTGGCATAGTTCAAGGCCAAAAATTGACCAGTCCCCTCAACCAACGTCGTGCTGGCGTCGATATCCCACACAGTCTGGTGCAATGAGGGAGGTGCTGTCAAAGAGTCGGAATCTCCGGGACCAGACATCCTTCATTTATTTGTTGTGCTCTATCCGAAGACAGAAACATAATTGAAAGACAAAATGTAGTTTATCCGTCCAAGGCAGATACTAAACTTTAATCTCAACCCAAAAGGCCGAGGACCGTGCACTCGGCATTTTACCAATTTCTCTACGAGGTTATAATGTGACACATGGTCGGTTTGATGAAGGGGGGATGTCCATAGGGCATGAATATGGGACAAAGACAAAAATTGACCAGTTACCGCAACCACTCACGTTAGCGCTAGTATCCATCAGATTGAGATGGAATTACCAGGGTTAGTCATTATTCATTACAAAACCGTGAACTGTCCGAAGGAAGAACAGTTACTACACTTTGATCCTAGACTGGGTAAAGATGACATATGATCTCCCTGGTTGTTGTTCAAATGCTTGTGTATACTCACGGTCCGATCTATTTACAATAGTGAAAGTATTATACTTTTGAATAAGCGGACTCACGGCAATATCACGTTGAAACACCGGTTCCTGTACGATCATCAAAGTTAAGCAACGTTAAGCTTGGCTGTGCGGCTGATGTAATCGATAACGGCTCGGAACGGGAAATCGCAGGGTCGAGTCTGGTCAATATCTAGATGGGTGACCGCTTGGGAATACCAGCTGCTGCAAGCTTGGATGTAAGGGCGGTTTAATGGATAAAGGCTCGAAATTGGAAATGGGAGAGCCGAGTTCGAATTCCAGTCGGGTTCGTTATATTCACTTACGTGCAAATACCATTGGCAAAGGCATAAACTCATCTCTTTTACTCCTTGCTATGAATTAGGACAGACACACAGATAGATAGATAGATAGATAGATAGATAGATATTAAGTAAATCATTATTATATGAAAAAAATTCTCAAAATCTAAAAATGTTTTCTGGCTTTAAATAACCTGCAAAAGGTTGATAAGCCGTAAAAAATCAGTCTTGCATAAGCGTTAGGTATTTGCTATATATATATATATATATATATATATATATATATATATATATATAAATTGTTTACTGTAGATTTTATTACGCGGTTTTATTTTCTTGTACTGTTAAAATATATAACTTTATATTCATGCTTGAACCCATGCCGTAAAACATTTACTTTGAAAGGAGAAATGTCAGACGAAAAGTCACATTTGTAAAATTTGTAGAATAATGGAAGCTTGTAAGACCAGTCTGCTATGAAGGAAGATATGTATACAGATAACCAATTTGTAAAAGTAACATGACTGGGTGTGCTGTAGGAGCTATGGACGAAAAAGGGATAAACAGGTTCTGTTATCATCTTGGGAGTATATATATATATATATATATATATATATATATATATATATATATATATATATAAGTTACGAAGAACTTGGTAAACCGAATGGGTAATTCCAAGGAGGATGAAATCCTGAGAGCTCAATGTGAATACAGAGCTAATATTTAATGAAAAAACTGACCACTTTAAGGTACCATTAACTTAAAGTGGTCTGCTTTTTCATTAAATATATCTATCTATCTATATATATATATATATATATATATATATATATATATATATATATATTAGTTTTAGCAACCATTGAATTTTTTACATGCTTTTTTTGGTAGGACAAATCATGGCTGCTTCACCACGATACATTTGCTTGCGACTCCCTGGTCGAGAAGAAGATCGCCATATTGGAATAATCTTCCTATTCACCTGATCTTAGTCCGCGTGAGGTTTTTTCTTTCCCCCAAGCTAAAGGGGATCATTAAAGAGATCCGTTTTGAAGGTGTGGTGGCCAACATAAAAGCGTGACAGGAAAGAATAGAAAAGAGTATTAGACCCGAGGGAGATTACTCTTGAAGGGGAAACTATATAGTTTGTTGTTTGGAATTGAAATAAATTGTTTGTAACACCAATCTCGTTACTTTTCAGACATACATTGTATTCTGTTTGCTTATTCGCTATTAGCAGTCAGAACAAAATTTTCATCATTTCCAGATTTTCAGCTCTTGGCGTCCTCATATAAAAGACGACGGAGACGCAAGCATAATCGATTGATTGAAGACTTGAAGGAAAGAGGTAAAGCTAGCCAGACAAACACTCTGCACCTGGAGCAATGCCTGGCGCAAAGTGTCCGATTTCTATTTGATTCGTTGCATCTAACACGCGTCGAGATTGCAAGAGCGATCCAAGTGAACATCTTGATATTGCCAAGTCGAAAATTGAAAGCAAATTTTTCTTTCTTTCTTTATTCTTGCCCTGTCGTGCACTTTTTTTTGTGTGTGTCTTCTTTGTCTTTTCTATCTGCTGTCTGAAACTGTCTAAACACGTCAAGCAATGTCAAGATTGGTTTTCAGGTAAGAAGA